GAACAGACATCTGACTGCTCTGTCCATTTCCCTCTACAGGCACGTGTGGACCAGACCAGTTCCTGTGCAGAAACGGACGGTGTATTGAGAAGGAGAAACGATGTAACAATGAACAGGACTGTGTGGACAACTCTGATGAAGATGACTGCACCGGTATGTACAGACATGGAAAATATACTGTTTTAATTTTAAACCAGCCTGGTATGTTCACTTCATGGCTCATATTGTAACATTTCCGGCTATCATGGGGTGTCTTGGCCTGTTTTTTTCTTATTTGCCCTGTCGCTTCTTATTTTTTGGAAAAAATCTTAGAAACAACAAAAAAATTGGTATGGCCTAAGCGACATTGAATTTTTGCTTCATTGATATGAGTGCGCTATGGGATAGGACTGTTTTAACATAATACGTTAAAAGAATGACCAGAAAATTGAGTGTGTAAATCCAGTTTTGCCACCCTGAAATTGCATTGGACAGTTTTGGTGTGGAAAAGCAGCAAAAACTGACATATTTTTGGCATGGTCCATTGGAGGTAAGCACAGTCACTACATAATTCTGGTCACAGTCCCTACATACAATGTAGTTCACACATAATTCTGGACAATCACCATGTTACTCTTTTTCCACTGTTGGTAGTGTTTTTCCTGATTAATGTACGATGTATTTCTTGATTTTCCAGATCCGACCAACATCCGGAGCTACGGGAACGAAGACGGCAACTCGCTGACGATTGCCGTGGTGATCAGCGCCATCATGGCGGTCCTCATCATCTTCATGATGGTGTTCGTATGGCGGAGACTCAAGCGGCAACAGGAGGACGGCTTCACCAACGATATCGTCATGGTAACCAACGGCAACGTGCCGACGATGGTGGCTCTACCGCCAAGCGCGGGAACAAACTCCCTACCAAGATCTGTGTCAGGTTTGTGTGCCTTTCAGTGTTTTTATGATGCAGTAAAATATAGCAAAGAATGTTTAGACCTTAGAACAAGTAGTATAAGTTGATTTATATATTGTCTTGTACGTAGGACAATTTTGTTGTGCCCACGTGTCTGTCTGTATGTCTAGTTAAAGACGAATTTCGCTGTACATTTGTTGTGTCAATAAAGTTCTCATATACATGTAATATAACCGTCTCATCTTATAAAATGTTTCTATGGTGGAATAGTGTATACTTGATGGTGGAAAATTATTCATTGTGTCAAACGATTTTGATTGAGTGTGAAAATTCTTTAACACAGTATCGGTGATGTTGATACATAAGGCCTTAGAGGACTAGCCGTAAGATTGAAACTGCATGTACCGTATGCTGTAGGTACATTTTGAATACAAGATTTTCAGCATATTCGTGGTTTTTCTTCACTTACAATGTCTCATGTTTCTGTGCAGGCCTGTCTACGTCGCGAGGAAAATCGGCCACCACTTGTTTATCATCGAGTTCTGTACCCGGATCCGGTTGCGGGCCTCCTCTGTACGACCGTACGCACGTGACGGGAGCCTCCTCCAGCAGCACGGGTTCCCTGGGCACGCACTACCCGCACGAGACGCTGAACCCTCCGCCCAGCCCGGCCACCGACCGGTCCCAGTACACCGCAGACCTCTTCTACTCCTCGCACAGCTCCCAGAGCCCGTCGACTGTCAGATCGTACAAACATTACAAGTTCAGAAACGTTCCCCCGCCTCCGACGCCGTGTACCACGGATGGCTGCGAGGACAGCGAACCGTACCCGTTACGGGGGTTGAGACCGAAATACTACGACATGAACTATGACTCGGACCCCTACCCACCCCCGCCGACGCCTAGAAGTCATTATATGTCCGACAACAACTGCGACAGTTGTCCGCCATCGCCGTCCACGGCGAGAAGTTACTTCCATCCGTACGTCCCTCCCCCCTCACCAGCAACGGACTCTCCCTAGTGTACATGATCAACGGTCGGTCCCTTCACAGACACTGTACAGTCGTTCCAATCTTTCTGCAGTGGCGTACGCAGGAACTTTTAAACGGGTTTTATCGCGAGCAGCAAAAAAAGTGCCTTCCAAGGGTCGTGTGGCGACGAGAAGGGTCGACTAGAAATGAGAGAAATTCTACCTTTGTAAAGTTGTAACTACCTGTATCTACTAAAGTGCCAGCCTTCTTCTCGGGAAGAAAAATGTGCATCCAACATGAAAACAACAGGCATATTCATGAGAAAATTGTAGCAAGCACCTGTAATTATACTTGTATATAACAAATGCTTGTATTTCGAGAAGGGAATCCTGTTTCCAAGGGGTAGGGGGGTTGTAGAAAAGCTTGCTGTTTTCATGTGGGATCCTCACATTTTTTTATATTCCTTGGATGTTTTCCACAGTGATGCCAAGGGTGACTCGCTCCATGGAGCTATTAAAGATACCCCCATGCTAACATTGACTTGTAGCTGAATTATAACATAGACAGTTGCTTAGAGCGTCTTGTAGGAGCTGTTTTGGCTACAGTGTAGCCCTTTTAGGGGTAGCGGTTCATTCATGTGTAGAATTATATCCTCTGGAAGCAACAAACCAGAAGGTTTAGAATTTCGGAACCAAAATATAACACTGCCAAGAGTATGAAAAAAAATGTTAACCTTCTAGTCCCAAAATCTGTGTAAGTATCGACCCCCTCACCCTTGTATCACTGTGGTATCTTGTAATTTATACATAATAGTATAGGAACTATTGTAATATATATAAAAGATATATTTGATATTTTTGAGCTGTTGACACTGTTACCTCCATGTTTTTAGCACAGCCAATACAGTCCACACATTTTGTAAGATAGGAGATTGTTTTTTGTGGTCTCAATCAATATGTGCCTCCCTCTATCAGACCTTCCTATTCCGCCGTGCGAAAAACAGCCTGCCAACCCCTTTCAAGTCAAGTGTTGTAGTCCGGACGCATTCACTTCAACCTGAACAAGGACTGTACCAATTGTTTTCGAGGGATGAAATTTCATCATACCCTATATTGGAAAGTGGTAGCGACCAAGTGTTTTAAAATTTCAGGTCTGTGGACCACATAACTGCAGTTATAGGGGTGGACAGGTTGTTTTTTACTCTGGAATGAGGAGGATTGTTCTGAAATCCATGTGTACCATGCTTTGTCTTACTCAGGAACAATGTGTGCTCTACGGCAGGTACATGGGAAATATTTTTGTAAAAGACGACAAATCGACAAAGTCTTAACTGTTGGTAGCACATGGTAGCCATTTTTTAAAAGATGGTCTAGAGGAAAAAAAATCATTTTATTATTGTGCGTTGTTCCTGATAATTGTGCTGTTCATACTGCCTTCATGTAATATTTTAATCTGATTATGATACATACAAAAATGCATTAAAAATGATCTTCTCAATGATAATGAAATGCCATAGAACAGTTAAATGTACAGGAAAGTGGTTAAATTAGCATTTTTCTGATGTTTTTTAGTAAATTCTGGCTGTTTTGATGTCACTTTCCTCCAAGCAAGTGCTTGTACTAAGTATTTTATAGTGTCATTCCCACCACATATGAACTCCACCATGACTTGTACTGAATTTGCAACTAGAACCTGTCACAATCATTGCTAATATTTACTGCCAAAAGTAAAAATACAAATTGCCAAAAATAAGCATTAACCTGTTGTACCTCTAATCATAGCCAACGGCCAATCACGTTTGAGGGTGTCATGGAGAAGCGTTCTCATTGGTCTCTTATGACAAGTCAGATGATTGGTTGGAAGAATGGTTCAAGATGTGAAGAAGCAGTCTCATTGGTCTGTCCAAGAAGCAGTGGATTGGTTCAAAGAGGGGTGGCTGAATATGTAGATTAGATCATTTTCGTTCCTCTATGAAACCTACCGTGTTGTGTACGCTTTCACAATGTGATGCCTTACAGTGTAAGTGTAGCTGTATGTGCAAGTCAGTCTAGAATGTCCTTGTGATTTTGTTTTTCTAGAATAGATCACTAAATGGACGTAACTGTCTTGTATTTGAAAACCACTTCCTGGCTGTCTTACTCTGTTGAAATTTGTTGTGAACCATCCATTTAGTCCAATGTTAGCTAGGTACATGTATATGCCTGAGGTACAATGTAGGTTCTGAAGCTGTAACACCCCTTTATTTAAATGGCATCTTCCAGATGTGAGTATCCAGACCAGTATTTTGACTGTACCATTGAAGGAATAGGGGAGTTAGGAAAATTTCAGTGGGCAAGATTTTTTGTAGCGCTCCTATTCCTATGTACAGAAGTGCCTGATTAGCCTGGGTACCATCCCCAGTAGTATATTCGCAAACTCTATAATTGGTTATAGAGTTTGCGAATATACTACTGGGGATGGTACCCAGGCTAGTGCCTGATACAGTTGAGGTAAAACTATGTATGAGAGGCTGCTGTTCTATTTTTATGTGCAAGGGGGCGTTGTTGTACGTACATGGAGGGTTGACGTCTTGTAGAGAAATCTCCATGGCAGACTTGTATGTAAGATTGTAACTTTGGTAAAGAATGAAGTCACATGGCTGTTTTAACCTTGTAGTTTGGTTAAATCTTTTGTACAGAAACGTTGATACGAAATTTGCAACAGAGGTCTATCTGTTTAATGTATTAAGTTTAATACAAAATCTGTTTTTCCTAAATAAAACGTGTGGTGTATTTTCTTGTACCATAACTTATGAACATAAGAATAAAGACATTCTGTGATATATCTGATTACTAAGTCTAGGTGAATGGTAAGTCAGTAGGGCTATAATCTCCACTAGAGTTCCAACGCCGGCTGAAAAATTGTAAAATTTAGGCAAATAATAATAACTTGCCGGGAGTTGGACAGAAATTTTACCCTTCTGCACTCAAGTCCAGACCGATCCTGGTTGTCCATCACAATTAACTTTTCAACCAATGATAGCATGGCAATTACCTGTTCGACCAATGAGAGAGTGGATGCGTATCCTTCAAATATTTGCATTTCTATGTTTGACGGAGGGGGGCGGGGTTACGGGATCGGTCTATCAATAGTATCCACCTATTCATTCATAGTCATAACCCCTTAGGAAGGCCTCGTGGAGGCTACGTTTAGGGGTTTTTGGAGACTCAGTTATTTGAAAAACTACATTAGTAATCTGTCGATTCGTATACTGAATTCAATATAGTAAAAGCTACATCAGGGACGGGGGGCGATATAGACTTCTGGCATTTTCTTATTAGTAACTGATAAGGTCACGTGCCCTAAGTAATTGGTCATTCGAACTAGATGAAGTACGAACAATGCTATTTATTGACCTCTCTTCAGATTTAATCCATTTCACATTTACTAGTATACTACTTGCACATTCTCGTTTTATTTAAAGAAAATAGGCAAATTCTGTCACAATGTTGTAGGACAAGACTGAAGTAGCTAGCCTGGGTGCAATCCTCCGTAGCTACCGCTGGCTTCCTACTGTCGCTGGCTACCATACATGCATTTGTACATGTATAGGAGCCGGCGGTAACTACTGAGGACCCAGGCTATATTAAAAAATCATCGTTGAATATTTTGTTGTTTTTAAAGTCGTTTGGTTTGCACATCAGATCATCAAATCAAGTTTATTGCTCAACAACTGTAACTGGTACAATGTATGGCAACAAGATCCTGGGTTATCAACAGCAAAACTGATTGAGGTTTGCACATGGCCGAATTTAGCTTTTTATCATCCTGTGCCTCCAACAAACGTTATCCTTCGAACACTCACTACTAACAGACTGCACCGTACTGACGCTGTGGTGCTGGTGCGCCCCCTAGCGTTCAGGGCCGGTATCACTTACGCGGTAAGACAACTAACATGTCAACATTAAAGAGCCTTAACAATAATAGAATTATAGAGCCTTAACAGTCGTGGTAGTTTATTACTTTCTTCATTATAAAAAGCTATATCTTTCATCATTATGATATCGTATATTCCATTTCATAGCGTTTCATTTACAATGTAAATCCGTCTTCTTTCATATTAAACCGACGTAGTCATATCGTATTTGTGCTACACGTATAGCTCCAACAGCAGAATGTATTGTAGTGAATTTAACATAATTATAGTATCATGAAACTTCATCTGTGTTGATAGTTACATGTTTAGAGTTAAAACCTTAGATCCAACACAAAAAATTCTCTCACCTAGAGCTTTCGACCAGTCACTCTGGTCTTCCTCAGTAGACTGACCCAGTGAGGCCTGTCACGTGGCTTCTTTGAAGTGTGGCGTCAACCGCGACGGGGGCCGACATCGTCTACAAGATACCTCTGGCCCAGTGTTGACGTCACACTTCAAGGAAGCCACGTGACAAGCTACTGGGTCAGTCTACTGAGGAAGACCAGAGTGACTGGTCAAAAGCTCTACATGTAGGTGAGAGAATTTTTGTGTTGGATCTAAAGTTTTAACTCTAAACACTTATGTTTGGTTATTGAACATGATTAATCGTGATTTACAATCATAAGTATCGTTGACAGCAAAGACGATGCCGCCCACAACAGGAAATGACGTCGTGCTGTCCGGGTTGTACCGGAAGTGACGCCAGTGTCGGTGTTACATAAGTCCGTCTTGCAGCAGGTGGTACAAACTGCCTTGTCTGTTAGATAGAGGTAACGCCATGTTGATTTGATTATATGGATGACATCCTCTGGGAGCCCAAAAATTGATGCGCGCGTGCGAATAAAAAAAAAGTTTTGCAAAAAAAAAGTTGTTTTCATTATGAAATGTACGCGGTCATGAAGGTTGAACAAATGGCACAGAATATGGTTTGGCGAATAATCTACTCTTCAAATTCATTTCTTTACAATTTCGTCTTTTTTCGTTTGATTTTGGCATTCTACGACATTGGTATAGTTTTTATTTATTTTGTAACTTACGGTATATTTTTGCTCATTTTGCAACTGTTTTGTACGATTTACAGTATGGTTGAAAACTTTTTTTTTGGAAACGGCCGAAAATCCATGCGCGCGCGGATGTCATCCATATAATCAAATCAACATGGCCTAAGTAATGATCATTATCATATAGCCAGGAGGCGTCGACCAATCAGAAGGTCCATTTGCCATTGGTTATCAGGCCGTAACCTCAAAAGTGGTCGGTTAATAGAATAACCGACCACTTTTTGGACCGTACTATTATGCAGGGGACAGGGAATTAACAGTAGAGTAAAGACTTGTAGTATTTATCTATTAAAACGTATTGTAGTTTATTTTTCAAATGATTAAGCGGCGCTTTCATTCATCGCTATATATATATATTTATATATGTTTCAAATGCATAATCTGAGTGTGTAATGAAAATGTATACAGCAAGTATACGGTCATTCCACTACCAATATTTGGCCACAGCAAGTAAATGGATGACATCCTCCGCAGATTCAATATCCAATGCGGTAGGGCGGAAAAAAACAAGGCGGGCTTAAAAAAAAACAAGATTTTTACATTTTCAAATTTTGACTCAGTAAGAACATCACGTATACACAGCCACCATCACATATAAAAGGAATTAACTACATCATTGCATCAAAGTAAGAAACAAAACATTATATCAGAGCCTTTTCTTGTCTCCTCTCTTCATATTTATCTACCACCCACCTTCCGGCATGGCAACAGATATCTTTGCCCATTTTCAGCATGTTGACCACTGTCGGAGGACAGCAAAATTTCTTGTTTTTTCCCCGAAATGAGGCGAAAATTAAAGTATGCGCTGATGCCATCCATAAAAATTACTTGCTGTGGCCTTAAGTAATGGTTAAATGTGGGAAAACATATAATGATAGTTCTAGTATAAGGTAATTGCTAGGTAATGTTAGAATATACGTACCAGTATTAGGTAATGGAAGACAGCCTATACAGCTGAGACTGTGGCCACAATGTCTGCCGAACTCTGTCACAGACTTGTTCGTAGTAGAGTAGGAGTATTCCGTCTGTAATGTTAAGAGTTTAAAAAAAGAAAAAGCTTAGATAAAAGTATCTCAACAATCCATTTGTTTATAATATTTTATAGTGTATTTTTCCACTATGTGTTTTGTTTTCATCAAAGTTATATGTTACATGTCATTGAGTTTAGTATATATCAAACACAGCAAGAAATTAGCGACAATTCAGTTTTTCGTGAGACTGTCAATGCTAAAAAGCTTATGTCTTAATAAAACATAAAAAGACTTGGCGCACGTAGCGCAATCACAAAACTCAAAATAGGCTGTCACAAACTAAGTACAGAAACAAGGAGATATAAAAAAATTACTACCGACCAGAGGGTTTGACTATTTTTTCCAGAGCTAATTGAGGGTGAATATCACTTTTTGATTGTGTCCTCAATATATTAATATATGCAAATCACTATACACTAGACTATCAGCTTCTATACTAGATTTACCTCTATGACCTTGAATAGCAATTTTAATACATATATATGACAAACCCCGTCATATACGTAGGAATATATATTATATATGTATAGACTGTATAGATATTAGCAATTCCTCCATTGATTGTAAAATTTCATACCTATGCCATACTAGCCATTCATTCTTGTATTTGACTAAGAGTCAGATTTGTACGGTGTCGACAGTTACAAATATTTGTTTGCTTGTTTGTTTGCTTGCTTGATTGTCTTCTTGTTTTGTTTGCTTGTTTGTTTGCTTGTTTGTTTGTTTGTTTGTTTGACTCACCACGCAGCTGTCCGATGAGGCGTCACACTGAGTGACGGAGGATGGCCCCAGTCCGGCCGGGTCGTGTCGGCAGGGGTGTCCGGCGGTGACCGAGCACGAGTAACACCGCAGGCCGTCTTGGGGAGAGGAAACAGCGGGGAATTAACGTCAAGACCGGTACCAGTGTAACAGTGGGGGGGGGGGGTACCAACTGCATGAATCGTCTGACGGATCTTGACCTTTTAGCCGATTAGGTAGGAGCGTCGGATTGTAAGCTTGGCGCCCGGGGGCCGTGGGTTCGATCCCAGCCCGGGGCCAGGGGTTTCTTACTGTTTCCACTCCAGAGCTCCTAATTCTTACACTATTCATTTTCATTTCTTCGCATTTCCTTCTTTTCCTTTGAAATTGATTTTCGCATTAAAGGACATCAGTATCGTTCCCCAATATTTTTTTTGCCATCTTTGGCATATATTTGCTAATTTTGCGGTTGCTTTGTACGATTTTCAATATGGTCGAAAACTTTTTTTTTGGAAATGGACTAAAATTCATGCGCGTGGGGTGACATCCACATAATCAAATCAACATGGCCTTATGCTCGTTGTGATCAGGCCTCAATTCGGTCAACGTCACGTTTTGCTTCACGGATGTGCAAATACGACGGACGGTGTATAGAATATCAATATGGCTTTACAAGGTACACAAAGCCGGTGATAAGCCGTCTATCAATTCATAAAGGACGACCGATGAGAAGCTAAGCTGATAATACGAGACAACGGGATAAGTTTTCTGTATAGCCTCAATTAACGTAAGTCCGGACGGAGAGCTTCGCTTAACTTACAGGTCGAATGAAATGTAATCGCAACTGAGAAGGGCCAAAACGTGGGCTTCACTGATAACATAGTCTTGTTGAATAGTACCGATTCTTTGGCGTCGAGTACAATGCATGGTGACTGCCTGAATCATTCCAATCAAACTCTACCGACCACGATTCAGGTCTAAGGGGAAATTTTCCTTTACGATTGAAGAAGCATCAAATCATCCTGTCTGATGGAATTAGAACATACATGTGGCAGGATTTATATGCACTTAATCATCTCCTTCCTTCCTTCCTTCCTTTCTGCATTCCTTCCTTGTTTCGTTCTTTCCTTCCTTTCTTCTTTCCTTTCTTCATTCCTTCACTTTTCCTTCCTTCCTTTGTCCCTTTCCTCCCTACCCTTTTCCTTCCTTTCTTCCTTTCTTTCTTCCTTTCAGTGCACAGTAAACCAGCCAGAAGTACCCTTCCTTCCTTCCTCCCTCCCTTCCTTCCTTCATTCCTTCCTTTCTTCCTTCGCCCCTTCCTTTCTATCAATGCACAGTAAACCAGCCAGAATAACCCTTCCTTCCATCCTTCCCTCCTTCCATCCTAAGGCTTATTCCTCTATCCCCCTCCCTCCCTCCCTCCCTCCCTC